GTGGGTACTGGGATTCAAACCCAGGTCTTCTGCAAGGATAGCCAGTGTTCTTAGCTGCTGAGTTATCTCTCCAGCCCATCTTAATAATATTTGGACACTCATTTGTAACCTACATATCCCACACAGGATTTCATGCATTCTGTCATATATATTAAGGCCTATTAAGTCAAGTTAGTGTACCCAGATGTCCCGCAGTGCAAGTTCATTAACTGGAGTCTAGTCAGCCTATCCAGAGTCTCTCTCTTAAGAAAGATCAACTTTTCCTCACCCAGCAGTAATCAGCTGTCAATAGTTCTTCAACTAAAGTTGGAGCCTGTTACCCATTTCCTCAGTTCTGTGCTGGGTTTTTGTCTGATTGAGTTTGCATAGGTCTTGTGCATGCCGTCATCATTGCTATAAGTTCATAGGAGTAAAGTCCCGGGAGCCTAGAAGACTCTGTTTTATTATGATCTTGCACAAACACTGATTTTTATACTTGAAATGTATAAAATTATTCCTTTCAATATTTTCCCCTACTGTCTTAAGGAGAACCATTTAAAAAAATGTTTCATCTAAACCTATGGTTTTGTACAAACTAAGTTAAGGGCCAACTGATGACTGAATCTGCTTTTTCTCATTAATTGGAGCTGACTTCCCATCTGTTCTCTCTCTTACAGGCCTCCCTGGATCACAGAGTGACTGGTAAAGCCATAGTAGGAAACACCCTGGAAAGAGAGACTTTTCCCTGAATTTTAACTGCATGAATAGCTGACCTGTTTGTTTGCCTTCTCCTTGCAGTGCTGTTCTTTCTGAGTCATACTTTCTGGAGAATTGTCTATGTCCATATATCATAAATCATATATATATATGTGTGTGTGTGTGTGTGTGTGTGTGTGTGTGTGCATATCCATGAAATTAAAAAGAGGACCGTGGGAAAGGAAAAACAAATCTTGTGAAAAAGAGATGGGAAAAAGAGAAGGTAGTGGAATACATATGATTTGAAAGGAAAAGTGGAAGCTATTAGGAGAGAGAAGGGGAACCATGATGAGGGGAAGAGGGAGCATGAGAGAGAGCAGTAGGACAAGTGGATAAATTAGAATAAAGTATAATAAGACAGATGTGTGAAATGTCATTATGAATCCCTTTGTTTTTAAGCTAACTTAAAAAATACTTAATTTTTTCTGATTTTCCAAGACGCTTGTTATTGTAACTTGTCTCACAGCTGAATAAAGCTTACAGTTACTTTTCTCTGTCAGCAATATGCATAGCACCTTCTGGTACTGTGAAAACTAGTCAGGAGAGAGGTAGCTTCAAGATCAGTACCAGCTTGACGTCTCCTTTTTTTCATCTGTCGCTGGGTATATTGTGTCTTCAGCAATAGGGTCTTACTGTGCAGTTCAGTTGGGAAACCAAGTGCCATAGTAATAGCCACTATTGCATGACAGTCTATGGGAGCTCTTAAACAGACCTATAACAACCAGTGAGATAGATGAAGTAAAAGGAGGGAATCCATTCCTGACATTGGGCCTTTCATCTCCCAGCCTGGTGTCTAGTAGGGCCATTGAACCTCTCTTATAGGGTAGCTACATTTAAACGCTTTTTATGTTTTATGTGAATATATTGAAGGAAGCTTCTGTAGTGGTTTCCATCTGACTCTCAAGTGCCTTGAGTGTTAGTTATCCCTCCTCTTACTCTCTTCTGCCCTAACCTTCCATCTCCACCCCACTAAACCCACCCTATGCATTATTCTCCTTTCCCATGTACATCACAGCATTCTGTCTCCCCTCCCATGAACCATCCCCCATGGCTCCTTATCAATTTCCTGATCTCTAAAGACTGAAATCTAGCATCCACTTATGAGTGAGAACACACAATGTTTCTCTTTCTGGACATGTGTTACCTCACTTAGGATGCTTCCAGCTCTATCCATGCAATAATGTCACAAATATGGGAGTAACCAACCATGCTCAAATTAAATTTAAGGTCCTCACAACAGGAAGTTTGTACCTGACATGGTTACCAGGGCTGAGAACTTGTCACAGGCCATGTGGGTCAACATTATCTTTTTGCTAAATAGATATAGTATTAAATTGAATCATAATGATTTATTGTTATAGCCATAGATTAGTGCATCTCTCAACTCTCACCAGAGAAGATTTTTCTGATAATACATGAAATTAACAGAGATCTACAACTGGTGGGGTGTTTGGTATGAAATACACACACACACACACATATCAATTTAAAAAATGAGTTATATTTGAGGAAGAAGCATAAAAATCTGCCTCATGTTATAGTAGATATAAAAAACATTACCATTGAAATCTAACTGATGACTTTATATATATGCTCCAGTGCCAAGGATCTCAAAAACTAACCTACTGTGACTAGTAATAATCATATACACAGAGATTAGAGATGCATGTGCAAACATCTAAGTGTTAGTTGCATTAAAAAAGAGTCTTTCTGTATGAAACAGTATATTTTTAAATGACATGGAGATTTTTTAAAAAATTAAAACCTCATTCAATTTTATGTCTTATAGGGTTCATACTGAGTACAATAATGTATAACTGTATTAATTCAATACTGTGAACCTAAAAATTTACAGCCAGTTTTGAAAGAGGTGCATGTTTGCTCTGGAAACTGTTTTTGACCCTGTCAATGCTGTTGTAATGAAATGCTTCTACTAATTACATGGTTATTAAACACATTTTTAAAAATGGAATAAGAAACTTCAGAGTACTCAGCCCTAACTGGGACAGCTATACTGCACTCTCCACCCCACCCCTCATGCTTTAGTTCTTAATTCAGAACAGGGTGGAAATACTGTAAGCACCAGAGATGGTAGATGAATGCTAGGAAAGTATGTTGTCTGGAAACCATGTGTAGTTGAACATATGAACCGACAGCCCTGTGACAGCATGCACAAAAACTGTGCAAACCTGAGCTACCCAGTGTACCAACATGGATAAAGGAGGTGGTCAGAAAACCCCAGCCCAAGCATAGAATATTTTGGCAATTGATAGATACAGGGAAAAGTGTCAGTTTTCCCTTCTGGTGTGTCACTGGGTCAGTTGACCAGGCTCTAGGAGATAGACACACACCAGAGCACTTGGGAAACATAAATTAAAAAGACAAATAAAAATAGAGAGCATGAAATCAGGGAACCAGTAGGAAGCTGGGAGTAAAGAGGGGAAGGGTCTAAATATGATCAAAATAAATTCTTTGAAATTCTCAAATCAATAAAAATATTTTAGTAACTATTTTGAAATACTAAATTTAGACATTCCTATGCATGCCTTCATACCTTTACTACAGATGTATATACATGCCAATAAATGGTCAGATGATCTGAATAGATGTTCCTCCAAAGAATAATGACGATGACCAAATGTCTATGAAATGTTTTTCAAAGATGTTAATTATCAAAGAAATTTATAGCATTTGTGACTGGGCAAGTCATTGAGTAGCTTCCTTAGTCTAGCTATGTGATAATTTTATTTGTGAGTTAATTCAAATAAAGTGATTTTATTTTAAATATTTTGGGACTATGGACATGGCTCAATTAAGAGTTCATACTGCTCTTGGGGAGAACATAAATATATAAATCTGGTTATCAGCATCCACACTGATAGCTCACAACTGCCTTTAAGTCCAGTTCCAAGGATACCAGACACCTCTGGCTACCATGGGCACTTATACTCACATGAAGATACACACATACACAGTTAAAGTAAAAAAATATTTTTAACATATTTTTAAGAAATGTAAATGAATACCAAAATGAGAGGTCATTTTACCCCATCAAGATAGCTAGCAGCAATACTCAAAAATAGCAAATCCTACAAAGCCATGGAGAAAAGAGAGTTCTTACATGCTTTTGTAGGGAATGTCCACTAACAAGTTATAAAGAACAGTATGGAGACTACTCAGAAAACTAAAAATAAGCCTACCATATGATCAACCCATCCCACTTGGGGAATATACACTAAGGTAATGAAATCAGAATATCAAAAATATCTTCATTCACTCATGAATTCATAGCATTTGGAATACCCCAAATATGAAATAAGTCTAAGTGTCTGTAAGTGGATGGATAAATCTAATTATACATATATTAAGATATTAGAATATTTTATAGCCATAACAAAATTAAATTCATATACTTGCAGCCAAATGCGGGAAATCTGAGGGCATTATGCTAAGTGAAAAAAGTCAGATCAGAAAAAAATAAGGTGATTCCGGTCATATGCTACAATAAACTAACCCAGTTTACTTGAAAGTAAAATAGTAAATTTTAGAGGTGGGGAAAGATAGTGCAGGGGTGGGGTACAAGGAAGTTAGATGTTGAGCACCAAAGCACAGAGTCAGGAGGAGGGATAATTCTAAAGTTCTGTAGTGCAGTGAGGTGACCACAGTTCATAGCAACCCATTATCTGTCACATGAAGAACTAGAGGAGAAGCTTGAGGCCAGAGAGCTAAGGAAATGCGGAGAGGGATTTTTTTCACTGTGAATTATGAACATTTACAGAAATATCACACTATACACTACAAATATGTAAAAACTCTTGAACATTGTATATAAATGATGAAATAACAAATATTTGGGCAGCATGTCAGTCTCAGTCATGCAAACCTTTTCTTCATGTATCTCATGTCATGTTTCCTCCAGCACTGTCATGGTGGTTTGTCTGGGTACACAGAAGCCAGGACTGATGTTTTCTGATGTTAGGGGTCACAATTAATTTTCCTTTTCTTCGAAATAAAGATATTTATTTTGAAAGTTGTCACAGTTACATATTTTTGTTACCACCTATGCAACAGGTTAAATATTTCTTTAGCTATTATAATTTTTATCTATAAATACACAAAATAAGCAGGCATATCATCAAATATACTTCATTCACAAGTTATTATATTAGATATACTTTTACATTATAAATGCAACACACAGTCATTAACATTTCAGTAGTGGAAAGAGATTTATAAGAAACAAAATGTTTTGTGGATTGATATCATTAAGTATCTAAAAATACACACAGTTTCACCCTTTGAACAACTTTCATCAATGCAGTCTTAACTTCTTTGTTCCTCAGGCTGTAGACAATAGGATTCAGCATGGGGATGATCATAGTATAAAACACCGATATGAATTTGTCTGTGTCCATGGAGTGACTGGAACTGGGCTTTAAGTACATTATGGTGACAGTCCCATAAAATGTGAAAACCGCAGTGAGGTGAGAAGCACAGGTGGATAAGGCTTTCTGGTATCCTTCTCTCGAATGCATCTTCAAAATGCTCATAAATATGAGCAGGTAGGAAATCAAGATGACAAGAACAGCAAACATAATGTGAAAGCTTGCCATAAGAATAAGAATCATCTCATTCATTTGTTTATGAGAGCAAGCCAGAATCCTCACTGCAGGGATGTCACAGAAGAAGTGATGGACCACATTGTACACACAAAAAGAAAGGAAGAATGTGCCTCCTGTTTGTAATGAAGCATTCAGAACCCCAAAGGCATAAGAGCCTACAGCAAGACAAGCACAAACACTTCTTGTCATGATGGTGGTGTAATGTAAAGGTTTACACACTGCTGCATAGCGATCATAAGCCATGGAAGCCAAGAGGTAACTGTCTACAGTGGCACAAAATGCAAAGAAGAACATCTGAGCAGCACAGGCAGTGTAGGAAATTAAATTGTCTCCTGTAAGGAGTCCAGTCATGACCTTGGGTGTGATTGCTGAGGAAGAACCAAAGTCCACCAAGGAAAGGTTACTGAGGAAGAAGTACATGGGGGTATGGAGACGAGAGTCTAGCAAAATCAGTAAGATCATCCCCAGGTTCCCAATCAAAGTGAAGACATAGATGAGTGTAAACATCATAAAAAGAAGAACCTGAAGGTCTGGGGCATTGGTTATTCCCAAGAGAATGAATTCACTCACCCCTGTGCTGTTCTTCATAGCAGTGGTTCTGGAATCACAAGATACACATTGAAATAGGCAAAAATAATGAATCAAAGAGATGAGTGGTAAAAGGAACAGAGCTTCACAGAAATTACAATGTAAAAGCATTTTTTTCACAGCAATTTTTATTCTGTACTATTCTCCAGATTTAACACAAACAGTTTAACAAATTAGCATACAACTTTACCCATGCACTATAATATAAAGAAGGTATTCATGGATCACCTTACCCACATCTCAATTCTGCATGAGTAAGCTGAATTGAAAGAAGTAATACTGAGCTGTGTATGGTCACATGCCTAAAACAAATTCATCTCTGAAATAAGGTCTTTGCCTCTAATAAGAGACTCCCCTACTATACCACTCATAAGCCTGGCACATTACATGGAGAGACACATTTAGTCTTCTGTTAAACCCCATGAATTTGACCAGTTATTATTTCCCTATATGAAGTAACAGCTAAAGATTAAGAAATTTATTCAAGATAATGCAGGCATTTACAGAGATCATAAACTTTTAGATAAGTTATAGTTTCTTGGCTATTATATTCATGAATTTCAATTGATCATTAAGTTCATTCAGCTTATATGTAAGCATGGTATCAAGTGTATACATTCATAATTCTTGAAACTGAACAGTAGAGAAAATTGAAAATATCTGAAAATTAAATGCAATATGATAAATGCACCATTGTAGGTAGGTCTATCCAATAAAGACTATTCCAAAGAGATGATACAGTGTCAGATATAAAATGTGTGTTCTGGGAAGGTGTGGCAATGTTCAGCGCCATCCCTACCACTTACTATTTGCAACATTATTCTCTCTAGCATACTTTCCTTAATCTCTCCCCTATTTATCAGTAATACATAGATTGTAGTGGGCTTAACTAAGAAATTATTGTGCCATTATATGAGGTAATGAACACATGGATAAACAGCAGGATGTGGTGTTAACCAATAGCCTGAGAAGTGATAGTAATAATGTTATGAGTATACCTTGGACTATCTCTTGGTTTAAGAGCACTCAGACACAGCAGAGAAGGCTTCAAGGTATGGATAAATTTTAAAAACAGGTTTTCTGGTTTTTTTCTACCTACATACTATATCTTATCAGATCTTTCTTCTGGCTTGCATCTAGCCTTCCTTCATCTCCCAGATGGGTGGCCATGTCAGCAACTCTCATGAGAAATGAGGAACCAAATCCTCTTCAGTTAATTTCTTCCTTTATGCCACATTTTATCTTGTGTTTAAGGAACCCCTTCCATCATCATTTCATTCTTTGTTGAATGAAATGATTGGTGGTTGTCAGCAGAAATCACTGCCTCATATATTAAAGGATTATCACTGATGATGTGGGAGCCTGACTCCAGCCTACAGTTGTGAATATTTGCTAGCATGGTTCTTTCTGTATTTGTATTGAGTATGAAGATGTTGAAAGGACATCCAACAACTGCTCTTCTCAGCATGTTCTTGCTGGCTCTGCTAATTTATATTTCACATGTCTAATCCTCAATTATTTACATTTAACCACATCACAATGCATAACACCATAAGTTATAAATGTTTGCAGATGGGGTTTTTAGCAACATTTGCTGTGTTCCATAATGAATGATGTTCTCATTGGGCCTGTCTAGATAAACAAGAATGCTCTCGTCAATAAACTGAAATCAGGACAACAAAGTCATAAGTACCAGGGATTAGAAAGTCAACATCTGAAGAGCCATTTTTCAGGTGGTTGAAGTATGAAATTGATGTAAAGACAATTAAGTGTAGGTTTAAACTGAAGCTGATAAATTACAGATCATTTCAATTCTGTTATAAAGAAATTGTGGTGCATAACAAGGTATTATTTTTTCAAGATTAGATATCTGGAATCAGTTTGTCACTAAAATCAAATGTTCCTCGGTTAGAAAACACTCACTGTTTACTTGCTAGTGTTTCTCAGAAAAAAAGAGAGAAAAGGGGAATAAAATGTGCTAAAACACACACACATAAATGCATGTGAATATATGTACATATGTGTATGTGTACCTATATTCAGAGAATTAACGAAATATTGCACTCTCTTAAGAGTCAGCATCTATTATGACATTTATACAAAATTCAAATCCATATCTAACTGATCTCAATATATGTAATTTTTAAAACCTCATTGCACTATCAGTATTTCTAAGTGTTAGTTTGATAGCTGCTGGAAGGTGACAGTATTGTACAGGATGGGACACAATACATTAATCAGGTTCCAGTGGATCAACCCATGCTGAAGGACATTGGGAGACACAAATCAGACTCTATAGCTAACACTATAAACAATCTATAGAGTTCATTACATTTGGCAGGAGCAGTAAGGGGGGGTGCAGATAAGTATGGGGTTCTAAATGCCATTAAATTATATTGGATGAAAAATCACAAAAAATAATAAAAAGTTTTAAAAAACACTTTCTAAATGGAAAAGTAATGAAAGGATGAGATGGTGCAGAATGAGAAGGAAACAGAGTAAGGACCACGGTGATCTCATGATGACCCTCTGTAATCTGAGGAAATGCCATTCGAACTGCTTGAGCAAGACCATCCTTCAGTAATAAACTGTCCTATGGAAACAGCACATGCATTTACCACCAATTCACCACAGTACTATTTACCCTAGGTTCTGTCCCATTCTTTAAAGAAGTTCAGCATGCCATTTCATAAATATCTCTGTGCACTCTTGCAATGTCATGATTTTCAAATTTGAATTCTGTAACAATTTAAATTTTCTTGGAAAAAAATAGTTCAAAAAGCAGACCTGAGCTCAGACTTCATAGACGATGTAGCTGACCCATTATTTCTGTGTCAATTAAACTTTTACTAATTTTTAACCGAATATAGAATCTCAGCTGTCGAAATGAAAGGTAACACAAATTAATTTTTACATTAATGTACAAACAGTTTTTGTTTCGTTTTTATTTTTTTCATTGTGTTTTTCTGAGACAGGGTCTACTGTTGCCCCACCTGGCCTGGAACTTTCTATGTAGACCAGGCTGTCCTTGATCTCACAGAGATTTGCCTCTGTCTCTGACTCCTAAGTGCAGGGGTTAAAGCTGCCACCATGACAGCTTACAAATAATTTTAGGCAAATTGTTTCTCAGGTACTGGTCAAAATTTCCCAAGTTTCCTGACGTACAAAACAATTGGAAGAGATCAGTAACAAGGACCCAGGATTCCTGGCACTGAGTCTTCCATCCACCAT